TTTTCCCATCCATGATTTCCAGGACCCAAAAGCCCCTGGAGGTAGGAGGCATAAAGGGAAAAAGAGGGTGAAATAGCAAAGAAGAATGCTCCCTCCCACCCACCTATGAGGGGGGGGGGGGGGGGGGGGGGGGGGGGTAAGAGGGGTAGGGCAGGCACGACAATCACAACTGTGTGGGAAAATAATGAAAATGAATGAGATGTAAAATGTACTGAAGTGAAAAAGAAGTTATAATTTAAAAAGCTTTTAATGATTTATTTTTAAAAAATATATTTTTATTGATTTCAGAGAAAGGAGGGAGAGATAGAAACATCAATGATGAGAAAGAATCATTGATTTGCTGCCTCCTGCATGCCCCACACTGGGGAACAAGCCCACAACCTGTGCCCTGACCGGGAATCGAACCGTGACTTCCCGGCCCATAGGTTGACGTTCAACCATTGAGCCATGCTGGCTGGGCAAGATTTTAATGATTTTAGAAATATTGCAAGATGTCTTGGCTTCTAGTGCCTACAAATAAAAGATGAGTTTTTTTATTTATTTTTATCTTTTTTAAAAAAATACATATTTTATTGATTTTTACAGAGAGGAAGGGAGAGGGATAGAGAGAAACATCGATGAGAGAGAAACATTGATCAGCTGCCTCCTGCATACCTCCTACTAGGGTGGTGCCCGCAACCAAGGTACATGCCCTTGACTGGAATCAAACCTGGGACCCTTCGGTCCTCAGGCCAACGCTCTCTCCACTGAGCCAAACAGGTCAGGGCAAAAGATGAGTTTTTTTAAATGAAAGACTCATTTGCTTCCCTTTTTGACTTTGGGGCTGAAAATCAAACTTACCCAGAATCATAAATAAAATACTCTCTAGGGAACTCACTTTTCTGGCTCCCAGACCTTTCTGATCCACCTGGGCCTCCCGTTAACTTTGGGGCAGCCAATCCCCAACACCGTGCTCTCTCCTACTAGTGAGGGCTTCGGGGACTAACTCAGGGGAAGCCTGCATTGGGGCTGGGGCTGGGCGCAGGCATTTCAAGGCTGAGCAGCGCTGGGAATGGAAGGGTGGGGTTTTCTGGTTTAAACTTAGTGGTTTTGGGAGTTAAGACAAACCTGGTTTTGAATCAGTTCCACTGCTTACTGGTGGTGTTGCCTTGGGTAAAGTTACTTCACTGTTATTATTTTTTTCCAATTACAGTTAGCATTCAATATTATCTGTTTCAGGTATAGTGGTTAGACATTTATATAACTTATGAAGTAACCTGCTCCCCCATAAGTCTAGTACCCCCCTGACATGGTACAGTTGTTATAATATTATTGACTATATTCCCTGTGCTGGACTTTACATTCCCATGACTATTTTGTTACTGCCAAGTTGTACTTCTTAGTCCCTTCACCTTTTCCCTCAATGCACCCCACTCCACCCACAACCTGGCTGAGCCTGTGTTCTCCTTTGTGAAATAAGAAGGCAAGCGGTTCCTACCCCCTATGGATTGATGTGAGAAGTTCATGAAGAGGTGCATGGCCCATATGGACCATCTATTAATACATCAAAGAAATGCCCTTGACACTTGGCCATCAAATCAGAGGCCCTCTGATGCTCCCCTGCCTCTGGGTATTTCCTTGCTCTCTGGCGCTGTTTCTAAGAAGCAGACCCAGAACGAAAGAGCCGAGGACATGTCAGGAAATCTGGTGAAGGTCAAGGAGAACGGAGTTGAAACCAACAGATTTCGAAGTCAGTCTCCCTGGGGAGAACGAGCTCAAATCTCAGAACTGTGAGGACAATCACATGTTAAACCTGAAAGCTGCACTCCTTCTTCATAACAGAGGAAAATATTTGTTAGAGACAGCGAACTGGAGAGAGCACACAAGACCATACTCAAATCCATACAAACCATTTAATTAGAAAAGTCATAAAAACAACAAAAAGGACAGATTTCCCAATGCAGGGTAGACAAGAAAGCAAATGGGGTTGAAAGGCACACATTAATTTAAAATGTTATCAGAAGTCATCAGATGACCTTTTGCACCCAAAGTAAAAAAAAAAAAAAAAGAGTCCTCCTTGGAATAGCAGCAGCATTTAAGGTTTTCATGTCACACTTGGTTATTCCTTTGGGATGTGGCTGTGTAGTCGTGGGAGAGATGTTCCCTGAAAGTTTGGTTGAAACAGGTTCTTTCAGCATTTCCATGGCAATGCCAGACAAGCCTGAAAAGCTAAGGAAGAGGGCCGTACTGCAGGTCTGGCTTTGGTAAGTGATGCAGAGCTGCACTCGGCTGCAGGCTGGTGCATCAAGCAGCATTCTTTTTTATTTTTTTGTAATTTCTCTCCCGAGGTTATTTTTTCCATTGTCAGAAATAGTGGAAGGCAGGGGGAGACACACAGAGAGAAACATCAAGGTGAGAGAGACACATCGACTGCTTGCCTCCCACATGTGCCCAACCTTGGCCAGGGATTGAGCCTGCAACCAAGGTACGTGCCCTTGTAGGAATTCGAACCCGAGATCCTTCCGTCTGCAGGCTGACACTCTATCCACTGAGCCAAACCAGCCAGGGCAAGGAGCATTCTTTTAATGTAGGGCCCATCATCATCTTAAAGACCTGACTAGGTTCTAAAATAATAGAGCCCAGGACTCTCCAGAAATGACCAATAACAAGTTTAACACAGTGAGCTCAGCACTTGTTTATATAGAAAACATTTCAAATGAAGTTCTTTCCAAGTGCCTAAGCCGCCTCTGAGCTTTGCAGGTGGGCCTCAGAAGTCCAGCTGGCGCCAGGGGAGTGCTCATTCACATTCACCTCTAAGGAGAGGCTGAAAGAAATGTCAGTGACAGGCCCGGGGGTCCCTATCCAAGGCTGTCTCACTGTGGCTCCAAGAATCCAGACATCTCTTTTCAAAAGGCTGTGCTGGCGTCCTGCCGCCATGGCTCAGTGGTTGAGCGTTGACCTATAAATGAGGAGGTCCTGGGTTTCCAGGTCAGGGCATATACCTGGGTTGCAGGCTAGGTCTCATCATTGATGTTCCTATCTCTACCTTCCTCTCTGAAATCCTATATAATAAAGAGGTAATATGCAAATTGACCCTTATGCCCTCGTGTCACAAGATGGCCACCCTCACGTCATCACAAGATGGCTACCACAAGATGGCCACTCCCATGTCGTCACAAGATGGTCGCCCCCACATTGTCACAAGATGGCCAGCAGGGGAGGGCAGTTGGGGGCAATTGGGCCGGCAGGGGAGCAGTTAGGTGTCAATCAGGCCAGCAGGGGAGTGTTTAGGGGGCGATCAGGCTGGCAGGCAGGTGAGCGGTTAGGAGCCAGCAGTCCTGGATTGTGAGAGGGATGTCCAACTGCCCTGTGGGATCAGGTCTAAACCGGCAGTCGGACATCCCCTGAGGGGTCCCAGATTGGAGAGGGTGTAGGCTGGGCTGAGGAATTACCCCCCCCACCCCACCCCAGTGCATGGATTTCGTGCACTGGGCCTCCAGACTATAATAAAAAAAGGTTGTGCTGGGAAATACAGAAACGGCTGGCTGATGTATTCTGGCATCTGAATTCTGGCCAGGCCCCCTGGAATGTGCATCTTAGAGAATTTCAAAATGGAAATGGGTCCCAGATTGGAGAGGGTGTAGGCTGGGCTGAGGGATTACCCCCACCTCCACCCCAGTGCATGAATTTCGTGCACCGGGCCTCCAGTCTATAATAATAAAAAAAGGTTGTGCTGGGAAATACAGAAACAGCTGGCTGATGTATTCTGGCATCTGAATTCTGGCCAGGCCCCCTGGAATGTGCATCTTAGAGAATTTCAAAATGGAAATGGAGCCTCTGCCTTCCCTTGGCAACCCAAGTCCTTTGTGTGACAGAAGAATGCTATAAAAAAAATAATAAAATACTATCTGATATTTCCCTCCACCCTTGGTATTGCTTTTCATCTTCTCAAAACCCACTCCTCCCAGTGCTGACACACTGAACCAGAAAATGAAAACTGAGGCAGCTGTTAATTGGCCTACACTTGTTTCTTAAGGCAGAGAGAAAAGTAGTCTATAATTGGCTTTTGATTTAAGAAAGCCAAGGCCTTTAAGGGGAAAGGCCAGAAGTCATATAAACAGACACCAAATCCAGGAGAACACTGATGAGTGATAAGGGCAAGGCTTCCCTGCCCCCAAGACCAGACAAAGGCTGTGCAGATGGAAGCCAGTGGCCAGGCCTGCGTCCTGCCCTTCTCTTTGTGGCCAGCTGGGTGGGGACCTCACTGGAAGCTGGATGTGGGGAGGTGGTTTTATGAACAGAGAGATTTGGGCCTGTCTTCCTGAGCCCCAACCCAGAGTAGAAGCAGTGGAGACACGGGGCTGAGTTGAGGAATAGGTTCCCTGTACCCATGTCACCCATGTCATCGAGGATATACAGGTGGTCGAGGGATCCTTAGATTGGAATGGGACTTGTGGGACGCAGCAGTAATCTGAGAGGACGAATGTCCAAACCAGATGGGTCTGTGGTCACCTTGGCAAAAGTCACTGTGGGCTGATGGCATTGAGGGCCACTATTTTGACCCCTTGTCACCAACTGGTATCAGAAAATCCCACCTCTCTTCTCTCTACTCCCCCGAGACCTTGACCTTCATGGAAAATGTGTATGTGTGGATTCCCTCCACCACAAGATGGGAGCTAAAAGCAGTTGTTAAGGAATGACCTATTTCTTTTCATACCTGAGTTTGTGGGATAGATTTGCTCTTGCTACATGTGCTTTTAAAGTTGGCTTTCTACGCTGACTTAGCAATGGAGCAGATAAGCACAGAAACAACTTCTGGCCATTCACTTGCAGGTTCTGTAAGTCACAGAGCTGAAGCTATAGGCTGGGCCTTAGAGTAATCTAAGAGCACTACCCTTTCTCCCACCCTCCCATTTTACAGAAAAGGCAACTGAGGCTCCTCCCACTGCTCACAGCACAGGGCAAAGCAAGCAAAAGGGGGTGGTAGTACTAGGCACCGTGTTTGAAATGAGGCAAGGATCTGAGTGGTGGTGGTGAATATACGTTGTCTGTCAGTCTGGAATCTATACACAGTCAAGCCACGGATCCCACTGTCCGGGGAGGACCGCCTTTGGCTTGCCCTCTGTGTGTAGGCCCAGCAGGCCAGCTTTGCTTCATTCCTGACCGCCCGTCAACTTGTGGAACAGGTCCTCGTCCAGTGTTTCATTCTGGCCCTTGGAGCGGGTGGACAAGAAAATGTAGCCACCGATGTATTCGTGCACCACCTTGCAATCTGCACTCAGGCAGGAGAACGCAATGGAGACGTTCTGGTCAAACTCGATCGCCACCTGGAAGAGGAAGCACAGGGAAGCTTAACCTCTGACACGGAAAGATGAGAAAGAAGCTGCTTTGCTGGAGATGGCCCCAGAGCTGAGGACAACTGAGATAGCTGACGGATGGATTTCTCCCCAAATCCTACAAAAAAACCCCACCACTTGCCCTTACAGAAAACATCTTTGCTCTCTGCGCCCTCTTGTGGTGTCAACTTTGGCAAAACACTATTTTTATTTTTTTAAAATATTTTTATTTATTTCAGAGAGGAAAGGAAAGGGAGAGAGAGATAGAAACATCAACGATGAGAGAGAATCACTGATGGGCTGCCGCTTGCATGCCCCCCCTACTGGGGATTAAGCCCACAACCTGAGCATGTGCCCTTAACCGGAATTGAACCCGGGACCCTCAGTCCGCAGGCCGATGCTCTATCCACTGAGCAAAACCAGCTAGGGCGCAAAACACTCTTAACTCCCAACACACACACATACTTTCTGTCTGTCTCTTGTTTAGATGTAGGACTTTTTAAGCACTCCCGGTGTCAAAGGGAAGGTATATTACAGACTTTTTAATGGAGAGTAAAAGGTCCACCTGAAATTTCCTCCAGCCCCTGGCCCTCACCCCCTCCCAGCTGAAAGTCATAAACTCTCAGCACTAGAAGAAACATGAAGGGTTTTCAACCGTGGAGGCCCATTGCAATCACCTGAGGCCCTTTAAAAATTATTGATGCCCAGCTACTGCCCTAGACATGCAGCTTTAATTGGTCTTGGGAGTGGCCTGGGCAGTGGTATTTGGCCTGGACAGTGGTATTTTAAAACTCCCAGGCAATCCTAATATGCAACACAATTTTAGAACCACTCCCTTGGAAGTCATCTAATCTCAGACCTTCATTCTAAAAAATGAGCGCCCACATGGTTAACAACTCTGCTGACAGGAATCCATAGTTCTTAAAAAAAAAAAGTGTGAGTTTCCGGGTAGCTCAGTTGGTTAGAGCATCATCCTGATACGACAAGGTTGTGGGTTCGACCTCCGGTCAGGGCACATACAAGAAGCAACCAGTGAATGCATAAATAACAAATTGATCTCTCTCTGTCTCCTTCTCTCCTTAATAAAAAAAAGTGTGAGTCTCTTACCATGCCTCTACATTGAATGTTTTCTGCTGGAAAAATGAGGAAAGGAGGGAAGAGAGATCCCATACCAGCAGGATGCTAAGGTGCTCTAACTTCACCTAGAATTTCCCATGATATAGCCTTGGCCAGAACTTAGTCCCCTAGGTGTGGACGATGGGGTGCTGAGAGCTGGAGAATTCCTAAACTTGCTTCTCTAGCGGTTTTCCCCTTTGGGGCCCCCCCCCGGAATGCTCTCCAGGTGGGCAATGGAGCCTCAGAGCCCTCCACCAGTTAGACATTTTGGCAGCCAGTCCGATTTTTGGATTTATTTTGGGTGACAGTTACATCTCATGTAGTTTCTGCTAAGTCTTATATAATCCCATGGTGAGTTGAAGGAAATGAATCAAACTGCTCAGCAATTTTAGAATCTGTACGGAGACTAAGCCAACTAGTGGGGTAATTCAAAGGCATTTTTGATCTGTTCTTGTTAGGAAACTGCCCAGAATTGCCTGTGGTTATTTTAGCAGACAATGGCCACATGCTTGTGGTTTCTGAGTTCTAAATATAAGAACAGCTTTTAAAATCAGAATAATCTGCAATTTTGAGGGCACACATTTATAGGCTCAACACCAAATATACCCGAAGCTTTCACTTTACCTGCCGGATTTCCCAATTTACATTCCACTGTTTCATGTTGGCGAATCTCCACGTTGTAATTGGAACCCCAGTGGCTGCATCGATTCTAATCAGCCTATTATATGAAACTCCCAGAATGTCATCTTTCTTGCTTCCTTTAAATCTGAAAAAGATAATTAAAAGAAGTAACTGCCTCTTGTAATATGCTGTTTATTCACATACGACTTCTTAAAGATAAATAATAGCAACATTTCTAAATCATCTATGAAAAACGGACAAGGAAGGGTTATCTTTCTATAGAAGGGCATTTTTATTGTGATCTAGAGAATATGACAATAGAGAGAATTAAGACTGTCCCAAAGGCATTCTTTAAGTGAAACTGACTTTAGAGCAGTGATTCTCAACCTTGGCTGCACATTAGAATCACCTGGGAATCTTTTTAAAATCCTGATTTCTGGGCTTCATCCTCCGGAAATTCTGTTTCTTTGTTATCAGTGGTTCTCAACTTTGGCTGCACATTAGAATCACCTGGGAGTCTTTTTAAAATCCTGATTTCTGGGCCTCATCCTCCGGAAATTCTGTTTCTTTGTTATGGGGTGGGTGGCCCCACCCCATAACAAAGAAACAGAATTTCCGGAGGATGAGGCCCAGAAATCAGGATTTTAAAAAGATTCCCAGGTGATTCTAATGTGCAGCCAAGGTTGAGAACCACTGCTTTAGAGGAAAGCAAAATAAAAGGGAGTCAAATTAATTAATTCAAAATTAGCACCAATTGTGTATGCCAGGCACCCTGCTAGGCACCGAGACGATAGCAGTGACCTAAATGGATGGAAAATCCCTGACTTCATGGAGCTTATAGTCTAGTGGGGGAAACTTGACCAGAAAGGAGGTCACAGATTTCATAAAATCAATGGGTGATTTCTCTCTCTGGTTTTGCAAATGTTGTTATTCTAAACGGACCAAATTTCCTTTCCCGCCTTTTATAGGATTCACGGGTATTGGCACCTTGGACAGAGGTACAGAAGATCTTTTTGAGCAGCCAAAAGTTTTGGGCCATTTGTGAAAGGGCAGTATTCTAAAAATAAAAAGAGTTCTACACCCAGAGTAAGTGAGAATGAACGGTTCCAAGAAAACCACTTAAAATGGAAAGGAAAGTGAGAGATGCAAGTGAACATTGTAATCACCTGACAAGGTAATAGGTGAGGCCAAATTCGGGTAGAGACTGCCATGCCTGAATGAACCGCAGCTTGGCTTCAACCAGGGACATCTGGGCCACGTTCTGGTGGGCCTCCATAATCCGGGCTGCCAGCTAAACAGAGACAAGAGACGTCAAACTCTCCTTAGCATGTACTGACTGCTCTATAACCATCCGATTAGTTCCAGGTCACTGTGAGGAAAATAAAAGGGAGATCCACCTGCAGCTTTTCAAATATGAGTCATTCTCATTCATATTCTCCCCCGTGTGCTCTCTCTCTCTCTCTCTCTCTCTCTCTCTCTCTCTCTCTCTCTCTCTCTCTCTCGTATATCCCCAGGGAGAAACTGAAACTAGATCAATCAACACAAGAGCTTCTAAGGCTCTATAACCATCCGATTAGTTCCAGGTCACTGTGAGAAAAATAAAAGGGAGAGCCACCTGCAGCTTTTCAAATACGAGTCATTCTCATTCATATTCTCTCTCTCTCTCTCTCTCTCTCTCTCTCTCGGAAATCCCCAGGGAGAAGCTGAAACTAGATCAACCAACACAAGAGCTTCTAAAGTTCATGCAGATGGAGAGTTCTGGGTTCCTCTTTCTGGGGTATTGGGGTGTCCATGGACAATGGGTCTACTTGATTCAGTTTATCTGTTTGACTTTTTAACCCATGCTTATGGAAGCATAATTAAAAAATTTAATTTGTAGGGACTAAATCAACCTGGGACCCTTCAGTCTGCAGGCCGACACTCTATGAGCCAAACCAGCTAGGCCTGAGCCAAACCTAGCCGCTGGGGGCTTATTTTTTAAAAAAAAATACATTTTATTGATTTTTTACAGAGAGGAAGGGAGAGGGATAGAGAGTTAGAAACATCGATGAGAGAGAAACATCGATCAGCTGCCTCCTGCACACCCCCTACTGGGGATGTGCATGCAACCAAGGTACATGCCCTTGACCGGAATTGAACCTGGGACCCTTCAGTCTGCAGGCCAACGCTCTATCCACTGAGCCAAACCGGTTAGGGCCTTATTTTTAATTAAACTATATCAGGGCATATTGCTATATTCAATTAGCGGTACAGTTACCTCTAACATAATTAACAATAATTTCTTAATATCATCTAACACCCAGTCTATAGTCAAATTTGCCCATCAACTGATTTTTCACGATGACAGCCTCAATCATTTTAATTCCTCATTTTATTTCAGAAAAGACAGAATTCACTGCAAACCATTACCCCAACAAGATTAGCAGTACCTGTTTAGACTTGTGTTTTTTTGCACACCGGGGTGACACAAAACATTCTGGGTTCATGTCCATGTTTTCAGGACCGGAAGCCACAGAAGATGTTGAGTTTCGGTTTTTCATCCTCAGAAAGGAAAGAATGTTGAGGACTTCTGGCTGGTAGGAGCTATCTGCCATGGTTTTGCCCTTCGACGCCAAGATACAGGCAGCCATCCACTGGGCATACTGATTCTCCTGCAGCAAACACAGGAGGGCTGAGAAGCAAGTTCAAGTCCTGGGAATAGCAGGACTTGGGCTTTCATCTTTATAATACAAAACTGTCACCTTCCAAGCATGGAAAGATTAAAGTGGCATATGTTCTGAGTGGCCATTATTCACCTAACTTAACACCCAACAATGGCCTTTGATTCTTGTGTTGAATGTCTAGTTAAGGGGCTAGAGCAGGGGTGGGCAAACTTTTTGACTCAAGGGCCACAATGGGTTCTTAAACTGGACCGGAGGGCTGGAACAAAAGCATGGATGGAGTGTTTGTGTGAACTAATATAAATTCAAAGTAAACATCATTACATAAAAGGGTACGGTCTTTTTTTTTTTTAGTTTTATTCATTTCAAATGGGCCGGATCCGGCCCGCGGGCCGTAGTTTGCCCACGGCTGGGCTAGAGAATAGCGATGTCAGTCTTGCTAAATTCCACGAATTTAAAGATGAACCAAGGATGTGTGCTATGGAGCACAGACAGCTGAAACCCTCCAGTACCAGACAGCCTTCCTTGATATAGATTTCCATTTTCAGATCACATCTGATCTCTCTGACAGAACAAGAAAAAAATCATGAACTGATTTCCTATATTATTTCTACCCTGGCCTATCGTTAGTAAAGACTAGTCCACAGTAGGAATCAGGTCCATTGATGAGCTCTGAACCAGAGAGGGTGCCTCCTATCTGTCTGCATTTTTCTAACCTTAGGGAGTAAAGAGGAGTGGTCCCAGAAGCCGAGGGGATGCAGCTGAAGAGTGAAATTCTTCAGAGCAACAGTAGGTGTGGTCCATTGACTTACTGGCCTCAATCTCCACACCCGTTGCCATGTAATTTTACAGTCCCTCCCACTACAGCCAGAGTGTAATTACCCCCACTTGATGTTGGGCCCAGCAATGAGGCTTGCTTTGGCCAATGGAATAAGGGTGGAAATGACCAATTGCAAGCCTACATGTTAGGAGGTCTCATCTGTTTCCAGTTGCTTTCTTGCATTCCTGCCATCATTGTGAGAAGAGCCTCCCCAGGCGGCTCAGGACTTAGAATAAATCAATGAGCTCAAACTGCAGTGGAGAGCCAAGCTTAGCCAGATCTGCCCTGCTGACACCAGCTTGCTTCATCCACCCCCGGCCTACTGCAGATGTTTCAGAAACAAGTGTTTATTGGGATATGTCATTGTGATTTTTGTGGTTGTTTGTTACAAAACAATAGCTGACTGATACAATAGTGTTCTCATTTGAGAAAATACCTCAGATGGTTTGTCCTTAGGTTTAATTAAGGTGAAATGACTGAACGTATGTATGGTTTTACTTACATGGTCACATCTCAGATACACTTCATTCATACCATCAGCAACAGGGATTAGTAACTTGATTCCAAATTTTCTTCCTGCTACATTCACATCTGGCACAACTTCACAGCCTGAATAACAAAAGGCAGGGTCACAACTGAGTTGTGGAGAATGTACTAAATAAATATCAGGTGTGCATCTAAAAGAAAGACTTTGAAATAAGCCCCTTAAATTTTGTTCTCTTCTGAAAAATGGAGGAGCAAGCTGATAACATTAATTAAAGGCTAAGTAGATAAGACTTACAAACAAGTAACATGGATAGAGAAAAATATTTTCTTTTAAAAAAATATATCATCAATTGAATTCGGTTTTAAGACTGATTTGGCTATCCTAACCTATAAGAACCATTATGAATGTGAACTAACTCATAGGAACAATTATGAATATGAACTTCAAAATAAATCAAAACCCAGGAAATTCTCTGATTGCCACAACGATAAGGGAATTGAGTGTAGGGTTAATAAAATATTTCAACTAATAGAGTTACCAGGACACTCACAGTCATGTTCAGAAATTAGAATAGGCATTAAAACAACATTGAATTAAACATAACTGTTCGTTGAATTAAACATAACTGTTCTGAAATTCAGAAAGCTTATCAGGAGCCTACAATGTATTATACTTAAGACACCAATTACCACCACTACATAGATTTGAACACACTGGGAAAGAAGAAACTGCAGACTATAAATAACCATGTTTACTAAACCACATTCCAGGTCCATGTGCCAGGGGGGGCCGGAGCTGTGGGCAGGGGCCTTTTGAACACAGGGGCACACTAGAAGTCAACCTCGCTTCCCTGGGTAGAAGTCTTGGCTTTCATTGGCTTGCTGGGTCATGACAAGCCACAGCGATGTAGAGCCCACTTACCTCTAAGATTTAACTTTTCTACTGGTTCTCCTTCTTCAAGTTCCTTATTTTTAAAGTAGGTTATAGATGTGTCTTTAAAGACGAACCAATATTGTTTGAAAGCTTTTAATATTAGCTTCTTGGGCCTGCAAATGAAAGTATGGGAAATGTTGAAACAACATCCAAAAATGTAGGAAACATTGCACATTTCAAGCACATCAAGACGCTCTTTCAAACAACATATGCTTTATTTTTAAAAACAATTTGCAAATTGCCAAGTCATTTCTAAAAATGAGAAATGGGGGTTGCTCTGAGATGTAGAGGTTAATAATAAGTGCTAAATAAATAATAATAATAATAATTGTGAAAAAGATCCATGAATCTGTGACATATAAAATTTCCATACACTTCTTAGATCTGAAGAAACTGTCATTGTGAACTGCATAACCTTCAAGTTGTCAAATATAAATATCAGATATCAAAGTAGGTAACCTCTTCTGTAGTTTCCTCTTGACCCTTAAGAGAAATCACCAGAGAATTCCCAGTGAGCCATGGCAAGCACTAAAACCTACAGCTAATCTATATAGACTCTATTTTGGGGGAAGATTTCTAACAGTAATATCTTTGGGGGCCAGAAAACGTTGCTCACTTAGCATATTAGACTTTTATTATATAGCATTTATGAAGATGTATTTGTGGATTCAAATTATTACTGCTTTTCTATAGCTCTATCACAATATGCATGGTTGCAACTATTAATGACCCTTTAGTTTGAGACCACATCCTAAGATCACATTTTAAAAAGAAAACCTGTAGAGCAAGCATGTCAAACTTGAGGCCCATGGGCCACATGTGGCCCACAACAAACATTTTTGTGGCCCAGTCAATATAACGGTATGTAAGAAACATTTTAATAAAATTTTTGTAACTTAATTTTTAAAATATCCTGTTACACATAATTATTAATAACGAACTATAACATTCGCGAATGACTGATTATTATAATCGTATTGCATTCATTTCCCTTACGTGCCTTAAAACATGCAGGCACACCATTTCTTTCCACTAATACTAGCAGCGAATATTTTAGCAGCCGATTGCCACATCATTAATGTTGGACTGACTTGTTTGGTGTGAACAACAGGAAATATGTCGCTTTTGGAAAACAAGAAAAATAGGTTTATTTGCGTTACGCTTATTAATTTGTGCAATTATCCAGTGTCTGGTAAGTTAATGTTCAATAAAAAATATTAATTTTTACTAGAATGTTCTATTATTTTATGTTAACGATTACTCATTTATTTCAGCCCTTTGTATTCAGCATATCTCTATCGAAATAAACTTACATTTCTATGGAAATTGAAGGGTTTTTCTTTTGTGTGTGTGTGGCCCACATAAACTGTTTATTTGGCCCGTGTTTGCCTTTGAGTTTGACATGCTTGATTTAGAGCCTCATGTTGGGAAAGGGTATTCAACTTAACTGAAATACAGAATTTACCTGCCTTTAGGGCTGATAAAGCAGCAGGGAGAAGAGGCTACAGGAGTTGTGTTAGTGGATAGGGTAAACGAGTTGTGCTGGTGGTAAAGGACTCTAAACATGGCCCAACAGTAGAATGAGTTATTTGCATTTGCACAGGTTTGCATTGTACTGATGGCCTGCAGGGTACACAGTACAAATTGGGATCAGATGCTAATAAGCAAATCACATCCTGAGATTTGTAATATAATTAAGAGGAAATGGTAGTAAACTAGTCAGGCCATGAAGGCAGAAAGAAAACAGCAGGAAAATCACCTCTGTGTAAAATTATGACTTAAATATGCCTCCTCCATGTCTTAGTTGTCACTAGGCTACGTTTTTAAAAAGGAACAAATAAAGGATTTGCTGTGGTCTTTGACAACTGCATCACAATAAGATTGACCGTGTTGGAATTATAAAACAATGCCAAATTACATGATTACTGGCACAAAATACCACAAGTTGTATCATGAGCAGCATGATTCAATTTTCCTTTGGTTTAGTTTAGTTTATTTTGTTTCTGGAACTGGAATTTTAAAATTTCTCTGAACAAAGAAAACACTATTTCAAACATGTTTTTGCCTGTGGTTATGTCTCCAGTTCCAGGCAAAAGTGCCTCAGTAACACATTTTTTCCAGCAATTGACCAGAATAAGCTTAAGGAAATTTGCAATAGACAACCAAAATGACAAGCCAATAGAGTACATTAATTCAATTGTCACAAACAAGGTAAGGGTTCCCTCTGGCATTCTGTGAGAGCAGCACATTTTTGGTTAATGAATTCGGAGCAACAAACATTGGCTCTATAGGCATATTCTTATTTATTAGAGAAAGATTTCTAAGAAATAAGCACATAAACATTTTGGAAGCCTGACTATGCAAAATTCCCAAAGCTCTATTGTCCACAAATTATGTTTAATTATTGTAAGAGCTTAAAAACTGCATCTTCCTAATCTATCACTTCCTACCAATTTTAATAGGAAGCTATGGGATGTGCAAAATGGAAACTATATTGGAGTAGTCAGGGGAGATGCAAGTATATAACGAATTTTACAAACATCATGCCTAATCCAATATTTATTTGTTGAAATTTTTAGCAAAGATGTACTCTGCTTTTTAAGTCTAATTTTTCTTTATTGCTTTTCTTTCTGGATAATCTCTCCTTTGTTGAGAGTCTTGTTTCTTTATCCATTCAGCCACTCTATGTATTTTGATTGGAGAAATCGATCCATTTACATTTAAAGGAATTATTGATAGGTGAAAGGATGTACTATTGTCCTCTTGTTAATTGTTTTTAGTTTTGTAGATCCTTTGTACCTTTGTTCTTCTCTTGCTGTCTTCATGATTTATGGATTTTCTTAATAGCCTTTGGTTATTTTCTCTTTACCTTTTGTGTATATTCTATAGTTTTGCTGTTTTATTTTGTTTGTGGTTATCATGAAGCTTACATGAAGCCTCTTATAGTTAAAACGGTCTATTTAAGCAGATAACAACTTAACTTTGATTGCATATAAAAGCTCTACACTTTTACTTCTCCCCATACGTTTTATGTTTTTGATGTCACAAACTACATATTTTAATATTGTGTATTCATTCACAAATTATTGTACCTATCATTATATGTAATATTTTTGTTTTTAACATTTATACTAGAATTATAAGTGTTTAATAAACAACCATTAGAATATCAGAGTATTTTGAATTTGAATATATGCTTACCTTTACCAGTGAGTTTTGTACTTTCATATGTTTGCATGTTACTAATTAGTGTTCTTTTATTCCAACTTGAAAAACTCCTTTCAGTATTTCCTATAAGGCAGGAAAGTGCTTATCTTGCCTTCATTTCTGAAGAACAGCTTTGCTGGGTAAATTATTCTTGGTTGGCAGTCTTTTTCTTTCAGCACATTGAATATATCATCACACTCTTACCTGTCTTTCACGATTTCTGCTGAGAAATATGCTTCTATCTTATGGGGTTTCCTTGGATATGATGAGCATCTTTTCTCTTGCTGATTTCATTCTCTTTGATTTTTGACAGTCTGATTATAATTTGTCTCAGTGAAGTCTTCTTTGGATTGATTCTGATGGGAATCTTTGAGTTATGTACATGCATATACATATCTCTTCTCAGTTAATCAGAAATAGGTAGATAACTAAGGTCATCTCCCTATAAGCCTGAGATCCAAGTTCTAGTGGCAATTGATTTTCAAACTGTGAAAGAACCGGGAAATGGTGTCAGAGTCAAGCCTCCCAGATGGATGGTCACAGAAACTCCAGTCTGACATCTGTGTTTGTTCTGGCTGACCCTGGCCATGTTTACACACCATGTACTATGAGCCAGGCCCCATGCTCAGTGCTTCATATGTGTTAATCTTCTCAACAAACTCAGGAGGAGGTATATCCTTATTTTATAGATCAGGAAACGGAGGCTCAGAGACAAAAGGACAGCTCCCAACGTCACCCAGGTAGCATGTGCTGTGGAGCTAGTATGGGCCCATTGTCTGTCTGATGCCAAAGATCACGCTCTTATCTTTGAACCATGAATCTGCTTGCAGTGGTTCTCAACCTTCCTAATGCCGCGACCCTTTAATACAGTTCCTCATGTTGTGGTGACCCCCAACCATAAAATTATTTTTGTTGCTACTTCATAACTGTAATTTTGCTACTGTTATGAATTGTAAATATCTGATATGCAGGATGTATTTTCAGGGGTCGCGACCCACAGGTTGAGAACCGCTGGCTTAATGGATCTTCAATTTAAACTCCCGGACTCTTTACCTATAAGGCTTTGTTATGAGTAATCCCTTTTCCCTTTAAGGATGACTTACCTAAATAATTTGAGATTATCTGCAAGTTTAGGGATGTCAGTGATGTCCTCCTAAGGAAAAACGTAATATTTCATAAGCAGTGATTAGACACGTGGTGCTGATCCTTTATACCTGTACTGCCCAACGCTGTAGCCACTCACCACGTGTAGCCATTTGAATTTGAATTAATTACAATGATATAAAATGACAAACTCAGTTCCTCAGTCACACTAGCCACACATCCAGTAGTTGCCTTAGGGTGGGGGGATGGGGTGGGGCAGGGTTGGGAGTGGGATGGGGCACATGCAGGGGCCTTTGTGGTGGCGGCTGGCCAAGTTCTGGTTATTGGTTTGGTGGTGACTTGGGAGAGAATTTAATACTCATTTGGTAGGCTGTACATTTCTGGTTTTCATTTTTCTGTATATGTCACATATCACACAAATGAGAAAAAGAGATTAAAAATCTGACCAAGCATGCCCTGTGCCTACCATTCAAGTGAAACATATGAGTTAGAAACAACTACTTTTACGTACAAACAAAAGTATTTTACAACGTGGGCATCAGAGTGAGTAACCCTAGGTACACCTGGTTTACTGATTAAACTCTCCAAAGGTACCTGGTTCAAAGTTCATTCTACAGCGTAGGTTGGTGCTTGTTTTCAAACTGAAAAGCCTATTGTTTGACATCACAAAGCCTTGACAGAAAATATCTTGAGGGCGGGAGGAGGGAAACTTTCATCTATTCTAAGAAGGAACACTTTCCTGTTGTATGTATTTAGTGGTGGAAGTAGACAAAAAAGAACTCCAGTTTCATGGGGCGGGTGTCTCCTATACACGTGAGGAGGCTCTGACTCCCTGCAGAACCTTGGCTTTGAGTTTGTTTCAGGTATTTAGTTTGGCATGAACCAACTCCCTATGTTAAGGAATTTAATCATAAGTGAACACATATTAAATACGTAAGAATACAGTGACTCATTTTTATCAATTACCTTTAAAAAATCTAATTACTATGGATCCACCTCTCTGAATCAATGTGGTTAAGCCACTTCCGTGATTAAAGAAGTTAAACAAAAGTGTGGCACCCAACAAATGCATCAAGCAGCGGGGGCATTCCCATGATAAAGCTGACACTCAGCCACATGTCATGGGTAAGGAGCAAAACACGATCAACCTGTATCACTTCTTTACATTTTACTAAAGTCAAAAGCGTTCAGGAAATGTTTATAACGTTCCAGAAAAAGGCCCTCACTTCTGTCAGCCTTGCCAGTGGAAAGGTAATCAGGGGTGGGGACCATCTGGCCCATGAAATCACTTGGTCTGGTGCTGCCAAGGCCTCAGTTAATGAAATGTTTGACCAAATATAGCAGGCTAATTTTTAAGTTAATAATTTTGTATGGCCTGTGAATAATGTTATAAATATCCAAATGGCCCTTGGCAAAAAATAAGGTTCCCCACCCCTAAGGTAAATAGGTAACAAGGCTTTGTTACCTGTAAGGCATTTTCTCTATTTCCACAGCTGTCCCATACAATAGACTGAGGGTTCTTTCTAGACCTAAGGAACCTATTTCATGTTCCATGTGGTGAAATGGAGTCCCCAGCAGTCTTTCTCTCATACCAGGCCAACTCGTCCCAAAGAAGACACGGGAAATGATAGTATTGTCATTAGTGTAATGAGAATACTGCATAGTCCCTTACAGAGCTGACCGGGGAAAGCTGGTCAGTTGTGGCTAGGTTTAAGCTTGTCAGATGACCAGCATGTTTTCTTTTCTCAAATTCAGACAAAATATTCTCTTATTTCTGATAAAACACACACACTGTCACCTACGTTGGTCAGTCAGAACAAAGCCACAGTTCGGAGTTAGCAGAAAAGTCCATACCAAAGTGTTGTCCGCTTTTCCACCTTCTAGGGTCACTTCCAAGTTAGAAAGTGCTGCTTCCACTTCATCGACCTCAGACTCACTTGTAAAGTCCTGTATTTCAGCGGACGACGACAATTTGCTAATGTGATACTGCAGAGAAACAGGTTTTAGAAATGGTATAAGCACAATAGATCCGTTAGCCAGTTCTTCCTTTTATTGGAGACAACTCCCCTGTAATACCAAACATCTCCACGGAGATCTCCCTCCTGTGCAGAGAAAACGACATTTTAACCTGAATCATGCTGAGATCTTGGGTTGGCCATGTTCGGATTCGGCTCTTCTACATCACTGGCTGAGTTTGTATTGGGGAAGAGATCAGAATCGCAAGACTGATGCTTTACATCAGTTATACACGTGTGTGTACAAGGAGCATTTAAAATTCTAATTCACAAAACTTTCCACGTCGGCAAAAGTCAAGATGGAAGGGAGCGGAGCGCGAGGGGGGAGCCCGCCGGGAATGCCT